AGAGTGCACATTAAAAACCAGGCCAACTCACATCCTGAAACAAGACAGGCCACAGTCAGTCTCACCAGAAGAGTGCACATTAAAAACCAGGCCAACTCACAGCCTGAAACAAGACAGGCCACAGTCAGTCTCACCAGAAGAGTGCACATTAAAAACCAGGCCAACTCACACTCTGAAACAAGACAGGCCACAGTCAGTCTCACCAGAAGAGTGCACATTAAAAACCAGGCCAACTCACACACTGAAACAAGACAGGCCACAGTCAGTCTCACCAGAAGAGTGCACATTAAAAACCAGGCCAACTCACATACTGAAACAAGACAGGCCACAGTCAGTCTCACCAGAAGAGTGCACATTAAAAACCAGGCCAACTCACAGGCTGAAACAAGACAGGCCACAGTCAGTCTCACCAGAAGAGTGCACATTAAAAACCAGGCCAACTCACAGGCTGAAACAAGACAGGCCACAGTCAGTCTCACCAGAAGAGTGCACATTAAAAACCAGGCCAACTCACATCCTGAAACAAGACAGTCCACAGTCAGTCTCACCAGAAGAGTGCACATTAAAAACCAGGCCAACTCACACACTGAAACAGGCCACAGTCAGTCTCACCAGAAGAGTGCACATTAAAAACCAGGCCAACTCACATACTGAAACAAGACAGGCCACAGTCAGTCTCACCAGAAGAGTGCACATTAAAAACCAGGCCAACTCACATGCTGAAACAAGACAGGCCACAGTCAGTCTCACCAGAAGAGTGCACATTAAAAACCAGGCCAACTCACAGGCTGAAACAAGACAGGCCACAGTCAGTCTCACCAGAAGAGTGCACATTAAAACCAGGCCAACTCACACTGCTGAAACAAGACAGTCCACAGTCAGTCTCACCAGAAGAGTGCACATTAAAAACCAGGCCAACTCACACTACTGAAACAAGACAGGCCACAGTCAGTCTCACCAGAAGAGTGCACATTAAAAACCAGGCCAACTCACATCTGAAACAAGACAGGCCACAGTCAGTCTCACCAGAAGAGTGCACATTAAAAACCAGGCCAACTCACAGACTGAAACAAGACAGGCCACAGTCAGTCTCACCAGAAGAGTGCATATCAACAACCAGATCAACTCACTTTCTATAAAAGAATGGCCAGAGCATGTGTTTTAGAAGTGTGCAAAATCAAATGGAGGAAAGCATACTTCCTGAAATAGGGAACAGCACATCATAATCACCAGAACAGTGCACAAGAAAGGGAAAGTCAGAGAATGAGTCAGCATATAAGTTAATAGTTAATAGAGGAACAACTCACAAGCTAGCAAATGGTAGGTGTAGAAGAGAATTGAGTCAGAACATAGTTATTTCAGAAACTTAATAATAACTTACCCACTAAAGAAATCCCTTATATTCATACAGAGACAATGTAAATAGACCATATATCACCTTCTAAATTCATAAACAAGAACATTAGCTGTACAAGTAGCAAGGTCAACAGTTAATACTTACACTCTGAAAGAAACAGACAGCTGCTGATAAGATGTGACATGTTATGCAAAATATTGGCCCACAAACTAATGACAACCATGAGAATAGATAAAAACTTGAACAATTTGTAGACATACATTCTGCAAGAAAAAACAACAATCAGAATAAATCTATTTTTCTCTTGATGATTGTTTTGTTCTCACTTCCTGTGCTTTATCAATAGCAATAAAATTTTATTATAACTTTGCTTACATTCTGTAAAACAAATCAATATACTATTTTGATACATCTTAATCACTGTATAGAACCACATACCTCCTATTAACCTTACAGATTAACTTGTGAGCAGAATTACACTCCTGTTACTTACTGTCTGTTGGAAGATCTCAATAAATAACTGGAGACATCTCCATTATAAACTCTTACTTCATAGAAATCAATGACTTGTTGAAATATCTTGATCAAATTCTTTGTAATAATTGACCCTTGCAATGTCTTATACCTGTCAAGAAATGATAACCATCTGAGAGAATTGCAATAACTGACCTGAAACAAAATCTTTCCATCCTTCACATAGCTTAACATCCCTTCTCTTTCACCAAAACTCATATTCAGCATAGTGTTATACCATGTTTTACTCTGAAAAATCAGTAAGTTTTCAATGAGAGTTACCAAAGAGGTCATAATTGTTTCATCCAGATTTGAACCTTGCTCCTGAGATCCCAAAAGAATATGGTGTGGCCAATTGAGGGAAGCATACTTGGCCACATTACCCTGAAAAAAGTCTTTTGAAGGATATTTTACCAGATGCTGCAAAGACAGTACAGCTAGATGAACATGTTGCAGAGGGGGATTGATAAAATATTGCTTTGATCGTGATTGGATGGCCAAAAAATCCCGGAGAGATGTGTGATAGAGCATAATTGGCTGATCATCATCTCCAGGAATTTTGATAATAGACTGCACTTGCAATAGCCCACAAATGACCTCCTCACACTGAAGAGAGAGGAGAGAGCTGAGAAAGGAAATGGATTTGTTCTCCTTCAGAACCATGATTATTCCAAGAATCTGACAGAAGTCTTCTGTCCAAGAAGCAGAAGAGAGGACTTGTTCATAGAGTGAATCTAGACCATTGGCTCTTGATGCCTGAAGTTTTTGCAAGGCCCTGTGTGGCATGAGATCTCCACCAACACATTGGACCAATGTAGTAGCATATGTGAATGAACCATCAGCCTTGTCAAGAAGTGTAGTAAGATCTCGAGCTGATGGCCAGGGTTTCAGTATTCTCTGCATGATTCGCCAATTCTGGTCATAGATAGAATCAAATGCCCTCCGAAAATGTACTTCAATGTCTGGACGAGCATCAAAATCCTGTAGCTCCAGACGGTGTAAAAAACGAGCTTCAGGACTATCAAACTTTTTTCGAATATGTTCCTCTACCCTGCTTGTGAGGAGAATTCGGAAAGGAAGACGAGTCCCCCCAGAAGAAGCCCTGAGCAGGACATCAATGAAGTCCGCCATCTCAGCTTTATCATCACATTCATCAAGAGCATCAATAACAACAACAGAGCTAGAGAAGATTTGTGAAGTGTTGAGATGGATTGGATCTATGACAAGTCTTTGAAGTCGGTAAGCCATAGAGACAGTCAACCCGAGCAGGGCTGGCTCATTCTCAAGAGCATGTTCAATAGATGACTTTGCACCAGGAACAGTGAGAGAGATCTGATGGGCAAGAGTAGGAATCAGGCGAGATATATGGCTGCGTTCACCAGCCCCTCGCAAGAAGAAGAAGCTCCCTAAGAGGCGGCCCTCTAAAGCATAGCGCTCCGCAATGGTTTGCGCCAATGCCGATTTGCCATAGCCAGCTGGTCCATTAAGCCAGCAGACAAGAGCTCGCTCGTCATTATCATGGCCATCGAGCCACTCCCGAACCTGAGCAATCACCTCCAAACGAGTTCCAGTATCACATCGAGGGACGTGACCTGCGCGAGTATGTGTAGCATTACTGACAGGCCTAAGCAAGCTCGCTAGACCTATGTGTCATCAGTTGTATGAATGGTATTCATGAATTGTAAAACTTTGACGTACTTGGAGCGGGCGGAGGGCCATGAAGAACAACATTGCCGCCGGCGTTTATGACCTGTGCATTTCCAGATATGGTGGTTCCGATAGCGTTTTGCAAGAGTGTGGTGGATGATGAAGAATCCATGAGTGAAATGATGTGTTGTAATATGGAGACTAGGAAAGTCGGAAGGTTAAAGACGTCGATAGGTCGGGTGGTCGTCGAAGTCGATGAAGAAGAGGTGATCAGTCGGAGATCAATTGTGTTGAATTCGCTGTCGGGAATCTAATCGGGCGACGAAACTCCTCACACAGCTTGTTCTGGCCGCTCTCAAATACCGTGTAGACCAACGTTGACTCGGACTGCCGAGCCAACTCTTGCAACCAGCCCCCGCGAGTTTCCATTTTCCGCCGGCGCACTCAAAAACTCAGTCTTAGAAAGTCACCTCTCCGCTGGGGTGAGCGAGCGTTCTGGGGCGAAGTCCAACATTAGCAGGGCCTTGATGATTGAAGCATGGGTTCACATTTCCAGGGCACGACCAGTTCGCCCGGACAAGGTCACAATCCCCGTGTAAAATCTTCTATTTCGTCACCACTATGACTCTCTGACTCGCATTTAACAATTTGAATAGCAGTCCACTTCTCCGACGGATGTCGACCCTTTAGCAACCAAAAGCGAATATTGCTGAGGCATAGTATGAAACGAGCGGAAACGATGGGCAAGAAGCCTGATCAAATATCAACCGACATCCGTCCCTCATCCCATTAGCAGCCGTCCAGCTCCATCCACCTCACAATCGCCTCCTACACTCCCCCAATTTACCTATCTCTCTTGCGCGAAACATGCGAGCAAAAGGCGAAGAACCGTCCAGAACTTCCCTCCCTCCGCCCCCATCTCCACGCTCATTCGCGCTCGAAGTTAGACCTCCAGCCCTTCTTCTATCACCATCCCCCCAGCGATGGCTTAAAACTCTCCCTTCCCTAACCAAACCTCGGTCCTATCTCGCCTCTCGGATACGCCGGAATTCTCATGCAGACACCGCGCTCTAGCATCTCAGCCGTTTGCGTTTCTCAAATGGATGGCCAGTTCCCTGTGTTACCCGTCTTTTCACGGGATTGGAACGTCAATGAGCCTCGGACTCGTTGGTTGGAAATGATGTGGATGGGATGGAGAGTCGCCACCGTGTATCGGATACTACCCCGCGGATCTCTTCGTGCTGCAGTGGATTCGCATTGCAAACGGACTGGAGAAGATCTTATCCAAGCACTCCGAGACGACTCCCCTCCTCAAGTCCGAGCTCGATTTCGAAGTTGAATTGGAGCTCCTCGACGACCGCCGCAATTCGTGAGGAACGTGAACGAAGACGGCGTCGGCGAGGGTTGAGTTTGTTAGTGGCACAGGAGACGTAATAAGACGATCTCGACGGTCTCGCGGACATCTACGTCCCCTTACCGATGGATGTTGACCCTCATACTCAGCCGATCTTACTTGACAAGTCTCTCCGGAGCATCACAATCCACGCCAATCCATCTGTCCTTCTCCTCCCACTCAGCTGTCTCATCCGCGATGCCCTATGACCGCAATCTGACCGCATTTCTTAGATCTTGATCACGGTACCGTCGACTCGTTTACGTCGTCTCTGGGTATCTCTGCCCTAGTCATATCCACATCCTGTCAACTGTTTATCTCAAAGACGCTGGGAGGCACGCTCAAAAGAACTTAGACTCTCTGCATACCCTGTGATCCAAGATTTGACGTCCGTATGATCTCTCGAAACCCAAGGAGCTTCTCCGACCTACAGCCACGGCCTGCGGAAAGATGACCACTTTTCGCTACTCCACCTCTGAATTGCTTTACACGACACAATCTACGGTGTAGCAGCTCGCCTCGTTTATAGCCGGTCGTGCTTGAAGGTTCTGATTGTTCAGACCCTACGTGCTGGGAGCTTGAGTTTTGTCGAGGCCTTCGATGTTCATAAGTGACGACGATGCTCGAAAGAGCGCTCACAGGCAAAGGAGGGTCGTGGTCTTCAAAATTTATCAACGTGAGGTCAAATGGCTTTTGATTCATCGGTTGACATTCTATTGGTGGAGACTTACCGAGTATGGCTCTCCTTGTCCCCATCATGGCGGTGGCTCACGAATTTCTAGACGGCTGGGTCTTCGAATGAGAGACGCGTATCGACTATCAGAGTCCTACCTGCTTCCTCTGTCACAAGATCAAGCGCGAGGTCTACCACTTCTGCTCGCTTCCCTCAAGACAATGGCGGACGACAGCAATCTAACCTCTGCAATTCTTTCATGCATTACCCCGCTACAGTCTCACCTCTCATGTCCTGGTCTGTTTTGCTGCCACAACACAGGGACACAAGCCAGCCCCGAACGCCTTATGCTGGACTCGTTGGGACTTTTCACGAACTACCGATGCGCAACTTCGAGGTTTCGTAGCCGACTTGGGTGTTATTGGGTTGCCGCTCGAGCTATTGAAGGACTTGACAAGGAGATTGCTGTTCCACAAGCAGTGATCAAGGACGTTGTGGACTCGTGTCATTCGGATACGATGTATATCCTCAAGTTGCGTCGCCCTGTACGCGCACTTGCAAGCATCGTAGAATTTTCAGTCAATCTTTGCCAAATGTAGCCCGTCGTATAGCCATGCAGTGACTACATCATGTACTTGATAAACAGAGTCATTTTGTCGATATCCATCTAACGCCCATCACAAGCAAACATCAACGCCTTTCCTCAAAAACTCACGAAACCAGTCAAATAACTCCTTTCAAAGCCACTCAAAAACCCCATTGAACTATCAGTCGAAAAACTCACAATGAAACCTGTCCATAATGCAGAGAACAATTTCAACACCCCCCGGATCAGAGGACACCTAGCTGTGTAGTGCGAGGTGCTTGTCCAGAAATTCTGCAAGAAACTCGCAGACTCGGTGCTAGCTGAAGAGAGGACGGAGCATCTTGGTTCGGTTCGGGAGCTGGTGAGTACTTACTTGGGTTTGGTGCATATCAACGACATGACGTATGTCCTGATTCTGTCTAGTTGTTCATCCCTTTGGCCATACGTCATGAGGCCAAATTCTACACCTTGAAAACGACACGTACGATCTTAGTCACTCCTCCGCCTCTGACCCCAGCACCTTAGAAGCCAACCCACCTGCGCTGTACAACTTTCAAACGAGCAACAAACAGTGTTCGGACGGCAACTCAAACACGCCGTTAGGCTAGGGAGCCCACTGGTGATATGTACTCATGAAGGGAAGGGGCGATACGTGGCGGATTTCGAGGGGAGGTCCGAAAGAGTTCAAGCTAGCCAACTTGGTATGTTCCATTCCCTTTGCTATCCTTTTCCCAGTCCTTACAAATCCAGACCAACATCGCAGATTCATGTACCCTTTTCCTCCGATATGCTAGAGTCCGCAGCGTCACGATGGAGGGACAATGCGCGGGGGGTATAGAGGTCTTGGCTTGGGTGCATTTGAAGAAAGATCAAGCTGCGCGTCATCGCCGAACACACCCTGCCTTTGCGTCCCACTTTCGCATTCTTTTCCATCTGGAGAGCTTCCTCCTACTCCCACTCCCATGACCCATACACCACCGCATAGGCCCCCCTCCAAGCTCTTGCATTACAGCAGAATGTGCTCGAGACGACCAGTCTTCGGTGTCCCCTCTCTTTGGACGAGGAAGATTCCAAAGTCTACCAACGTGTACTTGCAGGGCGCGGATTTGAAGACAGACATCGCGAATGGAATCAAAGAATTCCGATCCTGTCCTTGTGGTATGCTCTTCATTGACGACCTCTCCCACGATGCTCAATCCAAATGCAGCTCTTCCACAGTTGACTTGATATGGGAGGAGAATCGCTTCCGCCATGTCACGGCTGTACTCCAAGTTGGGGGAAGCAGGACAGCAATGTGGTCGTTATGCGCCTGGGAATGGGGATGAAGATGGATTCCGTTTAAGTTGTTCATCTTTTGGCTGAACATACCACTGCATCGCCTCGCGAATCGTCTTCTTCCGGTAAGTCCTCAATTCTTCTTAATTTTTTATGTGAGAACTAAGTGACCGCTTTGTTAGATATGGGACATCATACGAGGAATTCAATTCCTCCATCAGAATAAGTGTTACAAGGGGATCTCAAAGGCGTAAGACCTTTTTCATTAGTAGTCGTTCGACATTTACTGATAATTCTTAGATTTTCACCTTCCTCACATCGTATCACGATTCCGAGGAAGGCCGGTTTCCTTGTAACCATACTTCTAAGGCGTGGATCCCTCCTTTTTCCTAGATGACTTGGCTTCCTCTTCAACCTTATACCACGGCACGCGCACGGGCGGGGAGATGGAAGGTGTTGAAGTGTTGGTGTCACGGAGGGACTGGGGTGGCAGACGTACGCTCTCAGCTCTAGTTGCGTGAGCTTGATGATGTCCTTTGGGCACTAAGGGTGACATTTTGGGAGTGGGCAGACCGTCGCCATGTGACAGACACTTGTCATGCTCGATCCGCTCTCGAACGACGAGCTCCAATCTTTCATAGATGTTTCCAAGGGATGCGGCCTTTTCTCTCCTTTTCCCTTCCAGACGGCGAAGGAGAATGCAAAGCACTCGTACTTTCCCACTGCTGCTGTTGTATGGACAACCACACAGCTGACACCCGGTCATGGCGTCCAGAAATCCTTTCTCCTGCACTCGAGATCACCGATCCTTAAAGGGCACCCTTCACTTCCCCGCCAAAGTTGAACGTTAACTACAGTGATTGAGGTTCTCCCATGAAGACATTTTGATCAGGTCGTGAAGCTTGTGTTGGCGAAGGACGGTATCCTTCATTCCTCCTTCATTCCTTGTCCATTAACAGTTATCCCTTCCTTCTCCCTTCCCTCCACCATTCACATACATAAACGACGCTGACGCCATGCAAACCACCATAGCAGTCATCGATAATGTTCTCGACCATCTTTCATTCGCACCAGGACCCTCAAAGATCAGCTACGTACGCGCAGATGCCATCGCATATTTCTCCACGCCGCTCTTCTACGAATCCGTAAACAATCCTTTAGCAAGCTGGAGGCACCATTGGGAGAATGGAGCCGCGAATGGGTGCATATAAGGGGGTGACACCTTTGAGGGGTTTCTGCAGGGCTTACGTGCCGTTCACCACGCGTATTCGGGTAAATGGAAGCAGAAGGAGGGAGATGTGAGGCTCGTCATCGCTGTGAAATGCGCTGAGAGGCTAGTATCGGAGTTGACGGTGCCAGACTTGCCGAACTGGTGAGCCCTTCGTTGTCGTCGTCATTCATGGCCCAACTCACCTTCTTTGATAGGTACGAGTTCACTTTTGCATCGTCTTTGTAAGGCCCCATCGGAGACGATTCGACCACCGTTGAGCGCGTCGCCTGATCCATACTTCTTCGAAACACCTCCTACCAAGGAAGGTATGTCTTGGGGGAAAATATCTCTTCAACGCACTCATTCAATCTCCACAGACGTAATCAAACACCTGAGCTCGAAGTACTCATTCCACACGTCCCCTCAAACTGGTCTAAACGCATTTTATAACCACCCTCTGCGACGTTTGCTATCCTTTTACTCATGACCCTCATGAGGTAGCATACATCGCAGCTGAGCCATGGCCTGGATTCGTTAAACCCATATTTGACCCACATTGGACGCCAATAACGCGACAGATTTGGACGCAGACTCTGACTCTGAGAGAACCCTTTCAACCCCGACCCAAAGAAACCTGCATGCGCCTCAGCCATGTATTCAATCTCTCCCTTCCTCTCGCTCTCGACGTTCTCTATCCCCACCTCTGGTGGTGAGGTTAAAATAACTCAGGGTGTAGCTGCGTCGTTCCTCCAATGTGACATCAAAATGCATAAGGTTCGGAAGCTCATGTTCCAACGGAAGGAATGATAGGACAAAGGCATATGCGAGAAAGATCTTTAGTTTGAGAAGACTTGTGCCCGAAGAGACGAGGATAGCTCTGACGATAGGGAAAAGCGTGTCTGACACCGAATCGATGGTCAACTCTGTAACTCGCACTACGCTGAGCATCTTTTCAATGAGGTCGCCAGAGCTTATCCCTTGCTTGAAGTATCCTCGGGCGTTCCTCATTCGCAGCAAGGGATTCTCGAGTTTAGCCCACCGTCCCCGCGGCTCAAACAGTTCTTCAGCCAAGAAAGGCCCCAGGACGGGTGAACGAACACGTTTAACAACGAAAGGGTCTCTGTTTAAAGAGTCTGACTATGAGTTGAACCAGTGTCAGGATCAAGTTGAGTAGTAAGTACCTGAGACGAACAAGATTTTGAACGAGTCGTTTGTCCTTGATAGAGGAGAGAGAGATTGTTCGGTACCGAGCGTTCGCTAAGAACAACGGCCTGTCAACACCGTATAAAGCACGTAGGTCTCCTCTGTGGAATGCGAGAGCCAATGTCCTGCCAAATGTCGTATGGAAAATCCAAGTTGCATGATGATGTTTGAAAGCCAACAAGTTGGAACAAATGGTTTTCCCAACTAGACGCTACAATGGCGGTGATATGCACCCTCCAAAAGGAGCCTTGGCTCGAGTAGTACTGCAACAAGAGTAAGATGGCTGCAGGATGTCCTCATTGCTCAACAAAACCATGGAGGATGTTGCACGTGACGTCACTCTTGCTACCACTCCAGGATGTCGCTGAACGAAGACCTTGCGACAGCGCTTCACCTTCCTGAAGGCTCTGACGACGAGGTACTGTCCGTGTTATAGATCATCTAAACATCTTGACAGAACCGCAGGCAGCGAGCACAGCGATTATAGCCCTACTCACATCTGCAACACACGATGCCAAACCAAAGTATTCTCTTTCAGAGGTACACCATCTTATATCCAAGTCGGGATGCTCAAATATCCTCGTACGTTGTCTGATTTAACACGTTATATTGAATGTTGAAACAGAATTACAGGATCCGCTGAATTCGATTCCATGACCCAGCTGCGGCGAACTTGTTATCTCTGATCGGAGAATGCTGCTCCGCGAAAGAGGTTGTCATCGCCGTTCAGGAAGCAGTTGAGAGGCTGGAGGCATTATTCAACTCTGATGATGATGGATCTGAAGAAGTAGAGCAAGAATCACCTCAACAGGCGGCGTCCTCGCCCGTAGTTTGCCTTTCTATTCTCACTGGGTTATACGCTGCTTGTGAGATCTTTCCCCTTTTGATTCATGGGAAAGCAACTGATGACATACAGCGATCCCAAGGCTGAAGTTGCGAAAGAAAACAGCCCCGGACACTCTTCGACCTCTACTTACTGAGCTAGAAAACGTGAATGTTATGGCTGGGCCCACCGCGTCCACTGAACAAGGCCGAGCACTTATTTCTGCGACGGCGTCGTTGGTGAAAAGGGCTGCTCAGTGGGTCAAGGACATCTCGGACGCCAGAGAGGAAGACGCCTTGGGGTGCACTGTACGTATGATCGAAATAGACTTCCCCTTCAAAGATCTCACTTACATCTTCTAGAAACTCATGAAAATCCTCTTAGACCAAACTTTGACCGCTTATGCTCACTGTATCCGCTCATCCGTGGCACAGAGAACATTTGAGCAATGTTTCCCTCGACTAACAGTCAAAACTTCTGTTGGTGCGGGGTGGGAAGAGGGAGAGAAAGTCGTTTTAGAAGCTCTCGTATGAATTGTGTCCATTATCTCGGCCTCATTCAACTAATCAAAATGAACAGGACGCGTACACCTTTCTTGGGTGCACATTCAAAGAACTCACATCAGCGCCAACAACGGCCACCCTTTTTGGTTGTCGTAGCATATCATCAAACCGGTTTTCTAGACTCAGATAACGACCTTGCGCCCATCCTCCCCATTCTTATCTCCTCTATCCAAATCAACTCCGCCCTCGACGAATGCTTATCGATTCTGCTCAAGTTCCTTCACCGCATACGAGCGTCATCCGTATCTCCACCACCCACTCTCTCTCCAGAAATTGTAACGCCTCTATGTACTATCCTACCTACCATAGCCAGCGCCCACCCTGACCCACTCGTCAGACATCAAGCATTCCGAATCATCTCCTCCGTCCTCACACTCACCCAACCCGATTTAAGGATTCAGCTCCTCGCAGACCTCACTGGGGATTCGCAGCTCCCGCAGATGCGCGTTGCAGCCGTGGGTCTCGTTAAAGAAGCAATCATAGAGTCGATCTCCTCCACGAAACCAAATCTATTCGCATCCCCGCTCTTCTTGCGTGTCTTTCGCCCTATACTGTTTAGGCCCGATCCTCCGGATTTGTTCAGTGGGAGCAAGGAACTTTCACTGGGTGGGTTCCAAGAATCAAGCGAACCTCAACGGTTGGTAGAATGCTTAGCACTCTATTACGTTCTTCTCCAGCGCGATCACCAGAATCTGGTTCGTTGTCTCTGCTTAGCCCTCTCAATACGTGCTGAAAGTATGATTCTTGTTCAGACGGGCATACGCGATACAGATGTCCTATCAAGTGTAGAGAGCAGTCTTTTAGAACCATTGCGTTCGATCTTGGCAAAGTGGATGAACCATCCATCTGTTTCTGGAAGTAAGTCGACCAGAACGGATTCTTGGGCCCGTCTGAATGCTCATTTCAGGTCATATGCATGCTATAATGCCCCTGGTGTCTCTTCAGATGGGTCTTGAGAGGGTAGACGCTGCCATAGCCCAAAGGAACTCCATATGTACCATATCTAATCTGATGACATGAAAATCTAAATAAAGAGTGAAAAAATCTATTTTCTCTTTCTGATGCTGTCTTTACCGTGTCGGATGCTCCGCTCCTCCTCCATTCTCACCATCCCCCACCATAATGTCCCTCGACGACAAGGAAGACGTAGAAAAAGAAGGCGGTACATGGCAGCCTGTGACGGCGGTAGCGTCGTTGCCGAGCAATACTTTTCCTCTGTACACGGACCGCTGGACTAAAAAACTCTTATCATATGGGATCGAATCGCGGGGTACGTCTTTCTTACACGTCTTTCCTCTGGGATACGAAGTTTGGTTGTAGGGATTCAACCAGTGCCGGTGGAGGAACGTACCGATACCCAGTTCAGCAAAATCTTTTTCCTCTGGTTTTCGTGGAACGTCAATATCCTTACGTGAGTCACTCGTTGCCTACGGTAATGCAGTTTTGACGGGGTGATGGCCAGGTTCTCTGCTGGAACGTTGGGCCCTGCTATCTTTGGGCTTGGACTACGCGACTCGTGTCTGACCATCCTGTTTTTCAACATCATATGTTGCGCGCCGCCCGCCTACTTGTAAGTCATTTGTCTACTCCTGGGATTTGGAGGTTCACGCGACGGTTAAGAGCGACATGGGGTCCTAAACTTGGAATGCGGCAGATGGTCATATCACGATATTCGTTTGGGTACGTGGGCTTGGACTGTAGTATTGACCCACCATTTCCTGACCCTCAATGATAGATACTACGGAATAATTATACCCTGCATCCTCAATCTTCTCAACATGTTTGGGTTCTCTATCCTCAACTGCATTCTTGGGGGGCAGGCTCTTGCAAGTGCAGGGAACGGAAACCTCAGCTGGACGTGAGCACCTTTGTCCCCCCTTTCGGGTCAGAAGTCACAGCATCTGATGCTTTATCGAACTTAGAGTGTGCATCGTTGTCATTGCTATCATCTCACTGTTGGTGTCGTTCTGTGGATACGAAGTCTTGAACTGGTAAGCCCAAGCTCATACGAATTCTAATGTCAATTAGGTACGAAAAAATGTCATGGGTCCCAGTCCTGATCACGTTCATTATTGCCCTTGGAGTTGGAGGCAAACATCTGGCTAATCCTCCGCTTGCGGAACCTGCAACGGCAGCTTCTGTCCTTGGTTTCGCAGGCACCCTTGCTGGCTTTGCCATCACATTCTCGAGCCTAAGCTCCGATTTTACGACTTACTATACGCCGAATGTCTCTGGATAAGCTATTACCGTGCTCGCATGTTATTTGAGCTCCACTGACATATCGTCAGGTGGAGGATATTTGGCTACTCTTTTGCGGGGCTCTTATTATCTATTGTGCGTTGCCATCCTGCATCTTCATGCTCCTCTCACGCCAACCCTTCTCTTGCAGGTCACTCTTCAGTGCCTTGGTGC